GCAAAAAACGTTCAGTCTTTAGAAGTCACTTTATTTTATTGCTAGGATGTATTCTGCTGTTAAATTTATTATTTCCAACCGTTTTTCGATAATATTTTCTAGATTGAAGGCAGCATTTACAGTTCATTTATAGTTCAAAGTTGTGTTGGGATTACGTTGATACAGTGTAAAATTGTAGGCACCGGTGATCAGTGTGCAATGTAGCCAACATAAAACAAAACATGATTGTATTACTAGTAACACTGTTATTACAAGACTGGTGGAAGGTAATAATTTTGGAGCGAAAGTATTAAAGAATCAGTTGTTGGCTGTTGCCATGGTAGTGGTGAGCGAGAATTTTTTTTTCAATTAGTGACAGTATGACCTGCCTGTCAAGTATGAACAAAATCAGCCAAGCCAAAAAAACCACAGAGCAGTTAAAAGCCGCTAGTGAAAAGTTACCCCAACTTTGAGGTCAAGTTTCTCGGTAATGAAAATAGACATAAAACAACCAGTAAATGTATGCCCATCACACTCAGGCTTAGAAATCCTAGAATAGTAGGATGAGATACATTTGGCGCGAAGGTATTCAAAAAATCATTTTTTTTTGATGGGCCAGAATTTGTTCACAGATTTTACAACCTGGCGTGAAGGTGTGACTTGCCTGCCAAGTTTGAACCAAATCGGCCCAGCCAAAAAAATCACAGAAGAGTCAAATTTCTCAGTAATGAAAAAAGATATCAAAAATTCAAATAGTAACTTTGTGCCCACACTCAAGCTGAGTAGAATGAGCTATGTCTGACGAGTTTTATCCAAAAATTTGTAGGAGGAGATACATTTGGCACAAAGCTATCCAAAAAAACTGGCTGTTACTATGGCAATGGTGGGCCAAATTTTTTTTCTTCAGATTTTACCTATTAACTAGAGTGATGGTGTGACCTGCCTACCAAGTTTGAGGGAAATAGGCCAAGCCAAAAAATCACAGAAGAATTATTACGTGAAAACACTGGAAATCACGCACACAGACACACAAAATTGATTTTAAGGGCAATCCTAGCAGAGCAGATCGCCAATAGTGAACAAAAATGTTCGTAAATATTACTGACCGCAAAAGACGCTCATCGCGAAGTGGCTTGTTATTTTAAAAAAAAATTTAAAAAATTATGAGACAAAACTAGTTGTTGGCATTCAAAAGGTACATCTCTCATGACATAAAGCAGAGTATGGTATTTTTGTTATACTTACGGTGTTGTTGCTTGTAGTTCAACTTCTTTGGCAGGAAAAGTAGGGGACATGACAGGAATTCTATTCTCAGTTAATTTCTTGTTGATGTTTGACATTAACTCATTCAATGCCGCATCCAACGACTGACAGAGAGTAAGAAATACAAAAATGAGATTTAGTGTCCGTACATATATGATAGCTGGAAAGAGGTTACCAGAACTAAAATAATCAGAAATGATGTATTATCAAGTTAATAGAAAAGTCTGTGTTGAATCTGGTACACAACTGTAAAACATTACAGTTTCTCACTTATAGAACATGTGAATGCTGAAATATCCACACTACTGTCGAATGGTTTCAGTGAAGTCACTACAGAATGTGGATTTACACTTATAGAACATGTGAATGCTGAAATATCCACACTACTGTCGAATGGTTTCAGTGAAGTCACTACAGAATGTGGATTTACACTTATAGAACATGTGAATGCTGAAATATCCACACTACTGTCGATTGGTTTCAGTGAAGACACTACAGAATGTGGATTTACACTTATAGAACATGTGAAGGCTGAAATATCCACACTACTGTCGAATGGTTTCAGTGAAGTCACTACAGAATGTGGATTTACACTTATAGAACATGTGAATGCTGAAATATCCACACTACTGTCGATTGGTTTCAGTGAAGACACTACAGAATGTGGATTTACACTTATAGAACATGTGAAGGCTGAAATATCCACACTACTGTCGAATGGTTTCAGTGAAGTCACTACAGAATGTGGATTTACACTTATAGAACATGTGAATGCTGAAATATCCACACTACTGTCGAATGGTTTCAGTAGAGTCACTACAGAATGTGGATTTACACTTATAGAACATGTGAATGCTGAAATATCCATACTACTACATTTATGATGTAAATGATTCTGATGGCTTCAAGGAGGCTTGTTTGTTTGTTTATAATACCTCATGTGGATGATTCAGATTTCCAGACAGATCATTTATCTGATTCAAAACATTCAAGTCTTCTTCCCATTGGCTAATCAATCTTTCTATGCTAGCTCTTCGGTTAGAGTGGGTAGGTTTGACCACTTCCACATCGTCCAAATGATGTTTCCATAGCAACTTGTACTTGCTCGCTTCCATTATAAGATTGGGATGGAATCTATCAAGACAAGTCCACATCAAGGTTACATTATTTCACATTAAAGTTCACAGCAAGTTCACATTACTTGGCATTGAGGTTAAATTAAGTCACTCCGAGGTCAGTTTATTTTATGTTGAGGTCAAGTTCACAGCAAGGTCAGATTATGTCAAGTTCATATCAGGGCCAGAATAGGGTCAAGTTACATCAAGAATCACATAGTTTGAGTTGACTGTTGGAATATTGTTTGTACCAAACTTCAATGAAATCATCAATGCACATGGTGGAGATCTATTTTCAGAATGGTTGAAATTTCACTTCATACTACAAAAATCAGGCAATTAAGCTTGAAATGCTAGTAATATCATGTTTATGTCATAATACACTAACATTATTTTATTTTAAATCAGTTTCTGCCATTTTTAAGAAGCCATAATCTCTCTCATCATGTAACCACCATATTGATTCAAATGTCTTGAATTGTGGGTCTTTGAGGGACACTAGTATGTGACACAATTTGAATACATTCTATTTCCTATTCAATGTAAACAAGTTAATATTACTGCAATAATGTCTCAGCCATTCAGCCCCCCCCCCCCCCCATAGAATTCAGACGTGTGACACTCACACTGATATTGATGCTCGTCCAGATTTCCGTTTCACACTTGTACACATTAATAAATCAGAAAATAGAAATATAGCTCTGTCGGTCTTTTTTAGCACTACCTCTCGGTTAGCTTTCTGTACCTGTAACAAATTTAAGTATGACTTGAATTAATATTGATCATGCAGACATGGGCTATCATAATTAGGTGGTGATATTTATGTTTCCCCAAGAGTGAGTTTAGATCGCCAATGAGGTGGTTCAAATGTACAAAACAAATAGACCATGCAAGCGTTATGAAAACACCAATACCAACAACATGAACCTGATATATGCGTAACAAGAATGCAATAAACGTGAACTTTAATGCCATAACAGTCCTGGATGCTCAGAATAGGGCTACTGTACCAGCAATGTTTTTTTTTAGCATGCAAAGACAAAATTACTACTAACTTTAATTTCCAATGACAGATTTATTTTTCAAACTTACCATTTCATTGACAGGGAATTGTTTTAAAAACTCTCTGCCTGGAATGACAAGATCTGCATTGCCTTCCACCATACTGTCAATATCTTGTAAGACTTCTAGATTCTTTTCAACATTCTTTGCATCATTGATTGTCTTTGCCAGTTTCTGTATTTTCTCCAGTGCATCTTTTAAGCTAGTGTAGTCTGGGTGATCACTTGACGTGTGTTTGAGTAAATCCTAAAGCAAAGATTGAGTCACATTTTATATATACATGTGGATAACTATATCACATCTCTATACTGTGCACCGAAGAATAGTGAAAAGTCAAACATATCGAAACAACTCTAGTAACTTCTGCTCAGAGAACAGCCAGTTTGCAGAACCTTTTGCAGATAATATTTACCAAATTTCCCCCAACCTGATTATTTTACATTCCGAAACATGTTGAAAATAATCATAATCTGAGCTCAGGGCTGGAAAATATTTTTGGGACTGACTAAGTGCACTTATATGAATTGTTAGTTCAACATACTGTTAAGCACCCTAGTATTATTGATGTTATGAAACAATATTACACTCCATGCGAATTAGACGGTCAGCGTCAATTCGGAAAACTAGTACTGGAATCTATTTCTGACTCTAGATGGCGCTGTTTTGACTAAAGAGTACTCCTGCATGAAGTGCATAAAATATTTTGTGTTTCCAACTAACATACAACGATTCATGCTGCTGTACAGATTGACTGAAAACTACATTAATTGAGGAAACTGTTTATTATTGAGTATGCAGATTAGTTAATTCCAAACTAGTGTTAGATTTACAATTACACGCATAAAATACATGTCAATTTATATTTCAATCTGGTTGAACAAACTACTATTATAGTACTATAGAATAAACAAGATGAAAAATCAATTATTTTGCAAAATAGCTAATTAATATGCACAAATTGATTCTGAACAGTATGATTGTACTGAGTACTGACAAAACCAAAATACACTTTATGTACAGTTCAAAAATTCATCAAAGATTTAGTGTAATTTTAATTTTCAAGTTATACCCCTTAAAAATACCTAAAAGAACCATGGCCATTAAACATGGCATTGGGTTGAACTAACCTGAATAAGCAGTACGTATCTGGGTATTCTTTGTACAGGTTGGATGATCATATCATCAAATGTAAACTTGTTCTTTCTACTGCAGTTCTCCAAGAATTGACGAAAACTTGGTTTGCTTTCTTTGAGTTCTTTGAAGCAGTCTTTTGAATGTCTGTAGTTATCAACAAAAGCTAAATAATCATCTAAAAAGCGTTGTTTGGTAAACTGAAATGAAAAAAAAAATATTCATACTAAAACTGGTAATGAACACATCTGGATGTTTGTAAAACAAAAATTAAAGTCAATCAAAAAACTCAGGTGACAAATTATTAAAGTTAAAGTTAAATTATGCTATACTTTCTGTACCAACTTTGTAAAAAATCGCTCAAAAAGGAAAAATCAAAAATAAACATTGTCAACAATTAAACATTTTTTATATAATTAAATTTCATAACAAAATAAATGCATCAGCAACATTCAGTAACATTCATGTTACTAAAGTATCCTGACCCTCTGAATGAAACCATTACATTACAATAAATCATCTCCCTTACAATTATAGAAATATATAAAGAGTGAAGTGTCTTGTCCAGTGTAACAACAACATGGTACCAGTGAGGCTTGAACCATTCCACAGTGCCAGCCATTATATCTCAATCATGATAGTTTGGTATCTGAAATATCCGCTATGAATGAAACTACTGACTGATTACATTATTCAGCTTGCAATGCTATTACTGTTTGCACAAGTTCATTTAAGGGCAACCATCTGGAGACAGCTGTCCAGTCTGGAGTATGCTCTGAAATACTACATATGAAGACTCTTTATCAGTCGCCAACGATTAGATTTGGCTACAACAAATTATGTCATATTTGCCACGAATGGTCATTATTTGAGACCATGTCATCATCTATAGAAAGGTAATTTACACATCACAAAAACAAACTGCACAATACGAAGTAGAAATTACAATAGTTACAATAATCACTGAAAATAAAAGTCCTGCAAGGTCAATTGGAATGTTTTTGGTTTTTTTGGTCAAAAACCAGTGACTGCATAGTGTGCATCAAAAATTTGCCAATTTTAATAAATAAATAAAAAAAAAAAAAAGTAAAAATTATCCTACTGACTCGCATCCATTAGTGACTAGTTACATGTATGTACTGGAAGCATCAAATGTATTTAATAAAAAGACAATGAGCTATTTTTACCCAATACATTATAATGAATAATTTTGTACATTATCCTAAAGCCCATTCAAGTGCAAAAACAAATACTAGTATGACGATTTAAGAAGTGTTGAATGAACTACCAGAAAAACAGTGGTACCCAGTGATGGCTTAGGTGTTCCATGCAACTGTACAATCGCTCACATGAACTGAAACATCACACAACGAACACTTCCTTTGATGTTGGCCATAGTTGTATTTTGGCGGCTATGAAATCATGCCCATCCGAATAATGTATTTGGACAGATCTTTCAATTGTAATCATCTCGCTATTTATAATACAGCTAAACTATAGCCCACATATTGTACAAATACATGTTGGTTTGGTTGTATAGTGCAATGGTGGAAACAAATTTCATTCAGAATTATAAGTGTTGCAAAGCGTTAAAGTCGTCACACTTCATCATGTTTGATATGGGACCCATAGCAATGTATGAAATGTGTGTAAAATACAACACTGTGTGATGACTGTAACACTTTGATCGCTTTAAATCATTCAATGAAATATGTTCCAATAATGTATGGATATACTAAAGTATTACAAAAGTTAAAACGCAGCAAAGTAGAAGTCAGATGGAATGTGAGAGTTGATAAACTGTTTGAGGTAAAATATACCATGCAGAAGCTGGGCTTTCTATGCAATTTTTAAGATCTTAATAAAGTTTGTAATTGAGAAATGAATGAAAAAAATGACAAACATTCTCCATATAATGTATCATTTTACTAATTCATTTTGAGAATTGTTATTACCGACAGAATAGAATATGTAAATTGTGATTGAGTTTTTAGAGAAACTTTAAAGGATTAAATAAATTAAATTTTAAAACTTGTGTCGCCTTTGTATCAAATTAGTCAATCACTACTGAGAAATTTCTTAAAAGTTCATTAAGACATTTAAAGTATAATTTGTTTAATATAATAAACATTCCTTTACATCAGATATGACATCACGAGATATATTGATCAGGTCAGGCCAACAACCTTAAATAACCTTTATAATAGTTGCCATGACTACAAGAATGACACTCATGGTGGACAATCAACAAATCTGTGACATTTTGGGAACAACAGTAAACAAGCAAGCAGTGGTTTCAAACATCACATAGTTAGGCAGGTTCTATTGACCGTAGCATAACAGTTTACAAAGTTAGGCAGGTTAGGTCAGTTGCTCCATGATACCACCAACAAGGGTAAAAGCTGGAGGAATTCATTCACCATGTGTTCAATACTGATCATATCATATTGACTGGCTTCCTGTGCATGACATTTTAAAAGTTAAACACACATATTGTCACATTTTGTCTGACTATAGCTGGTTAACTTTCAATTGCTATCAAGATTTAAATTTTGTTTACAAGTACAAAAACTTTTATAAAAAGATTATTTAAAGCATGTGCACAATACATTATATTAAGGCAATGATTTTTTTTTCAGAATATGGTTTCATCTATGCTATAGACATAGCATGTTTTTCAGACAACAAACTTAGCATGCACAAACAAAAGATCAGTTTACAGAATTAGAAAAGATCAGAGCAACAGAATGCTCAAGCTAAAGTTCAAGTGTAAATTTCAATCCAACAATTTGAACTGTTGTTTTGAAAACATAGAGTGAATGAGAACGATGAATGTTTACATATAAATCGGAATATACTTTGGGTCTACAAACTTTCCCAATATACAACAACAACAACAACAACAATAAAATTGAGCATCTTTCCAGGTTTATCTTCATTGAAACGGCTTTACTAAGTATCATACTCTTCAAAAACCTCAACACTTCAAAAAAAAAACAATAAAAAAAATAATAATCTAAAATTAAAAGATATATTGCCACTTTGTAATAATCGGCAGAAAACTTCCCACTGAACCCTGTAAACAATATACAAGTTTACCATATTTCATGAGAAATCCAACAGAATCCTGAAATGAAATTGAACCTACTAAAATTAAGTAAAGTAGCCTTGAGTAGACAGAACAATGACAAGTATGTTGGATTTGATGCTTAGACACCATGACCTATAGTGCAGGTTAGCTTCAGTGATTCAATATTTCATGATATGTTGTCAAGACAACTGATTTTATCACATTTCATACATACAATACAAAATGAGAATGGTGTTCAAATATTGCTCACATTAGATGTATGTCACAATTGTGTGACAGCATTACTATGGAGATCAAAATTTTTATTTTATTCTGGAATTGCAAACAACATATAATGGAGGTGAATATCCCGGCAAACACTAATAATATGACAAATATCTTTACAAAATAGTTAACTTCATATGTGGATATACAAAACATTTAATTAATTTTGTTTGATATTGCATCTTGCTAAAAAAAATGATTTATTGTAAAATATGTTTTACCCGAAAATATAGCAGTATTCATTCAATGAATTACTGAAAACATTAGTTTTCAATCAACTACACTTACAGATCAATCATAAATGAATACAGATATGTTTGAAGCAAAAACAACATTTTTTCCCCACATAAATCTTATACCGGTAATAATGTATCAAACAGAATTGTTTAAACATGTTCAACAAATTCTTGAAGTTAACCAACTTGTTACTTTAATGTTTAATAAAATAAACCAGTACAAAACATCAGTTTTATTTCATGAAAACCTTCAACTGACTGACTTTGAAATTTATAATTTCTACAATCTGTTTGTAATATTTATTCAAAGTTTAATTCACTAAAATGATGAAGACACAACTACATTTACAAGACAAGAATAAAACGCTATGCTGACATATACGTATACATCCAAACCAAATTTTTGATGCTAAATTTTATTTGTATACCACTACACTGTTATAATTACTGTCATGGCTGGGCACAATAATACAAAGATATGATATTCAGATAGATTTCATTATAAGAATGGTTTAACCATGCGTAAATTATGTGACACAGTTACCCTGCAATGTTTGGATTTCCACCAATGCATGTAGTGAAACCTAAAGTTATCGTTGAGGATACTATCTTGTATGCCCATTGCAAAGACACAAAAATGGATTGCAATCAACAGCATTAATGCAAATGAGGTCATAGTTCACAAATCACATGGTCTAAAGTACAATGAGCCTCCAGTAATTACAATTATGCAGAGTATCTAGAAAACAGTAAAACTGTCAATTTAGTTACATGATGTAAGGCAGGGTAGTTTACTATTGCGACCCATGACCCTGAGGTCATGACCTCAGGAAATGCGTGTGTAACATGATTGCATCGTCCCGACTCGTTCTGTTTTCCAACCACCTGCATTGAGTGTCTGTGTTGCTATAAACCGAGACATTCTAGTTTGTCAATCAAGTCTACTTAATATTAGGGGGTGCCGAGAGATGTCGTTGTTTATGTCTGGAGACAAAACTAATTAAAATCCCTGCACCTGATTTCCACTGCCATGTGTGGCATCTTGTTGTTTACATTTTCTAATTCATTGGCAACCCTAAAGTATCAACATGAGTGGTATGCTCAAACATGAAATACAACGTAGTATAATTTGTCTGAATATAGTTTAAATTTAATGATGTGGAAGACAAATGTTGCTAGACAGAGGAAACAAATCACAAACAAATCTTGTAGTCCAAGACACAGTGGTTCACAC